CCCAGGGGGGTTACCTTTAAAAAAAAAATACGAGACCGATATAGATGACTTTAGAACAGGGGTCAGCAACCTGCGGCTCCGAAGCTGCATTGCGGCTCTTGAAATTCGAAACAAATGGCTATTGTTATTTTGGTTGCCGACCCGTGACCATGGAAATCCAGTTTACCATGGGCAGGCAGGGGTTGGCAACATTCGGCTCTTTAACGGCCGCTTTCTGGCGTTATTTATTAAGGTCCGTCTCGTATTCACGCGCATTCACGGCTCATATAATACTGGGTTTTTTTGACCGAATTCGAAAAAAATGTCCCTGCTTGTCGTTTTTGTTGCCGAGCCATGCTTTAGAAGGAGAAACAGTGACCCCTGATTCGCCACGCCAGCTTACGAGAAAATACATAAACTGGCTTTAAGGTGGAGATTAAAACCTGCAGAATGAAATCCCTCTAAAATGAAAACAAAGTAAATGTAAACTCTGCTAACACACCCACTGGTGGTAAACCCTCTGCGTTGGCAACACTTGTGGATGTAACCCGCTTATTGTGGCCAAGCAATAGTGAAAGTAAATCCTCTTATGATGGAGGTAAAAAAAAAAACCTCAACTGAATGCAACAACTGCTGCTGTAGCTACGAAGGTAAAAAAAAACCTGTCGTAGCAACATACCTGTTAGCTGCGTAGGCTAAAACAAAAAAAGCCCTCTTGTGGCAGCATTGCTGCTAGCTATGAGTGTTGGTGGCATTGATATGTAGCTATGTAGCAAAGAAACCTCCCCTTCACACTCCCCGCGGTCCTGCCAAGATTACCGTGCTGTGCTTGCTCGAGATAAATCCTTTAAATCAGGGGGTCGCCAAGCAACATAACAAGAGCCATGGTTTTTTCGAATACGGTACAAAAAACTCAAAATTTCAAGAGCCGCAATGCACGTGAATACGAGACGGAGATACTTGGTAAATAACTTCACGAAACAGTCCTGAATGCAGCCGCATGCGGCTCTGGACCCGCAGGTTGCTGACCTCTGCCCATGGTAAACTGGACTCCCATGGTGAACTGGACTCCCACGGTAAGCTGGACTCCCACGGTGAACTGAACTCCCATGGTGAACTGGACTCCCATGGTGAACTGGACTCCCATGGTGAACTGGACTCCCATGGTGAACTGGACTACCATGGTGAACTGGACTACCATGGTGAACTGGACTCCCATGGTGAACTGAACTCCCATGGTGAACTGGACTCCCATGGTGAACTGGACTCCCATGGTGAACTGGACTACCATGGTGAACTGGACTCCCATGGTGAACTGAACTCCCATGGTGAACTGGACTCCCATGGTGAACTGGACTCCCATGGTGAACTGAACTCCCATGGTGAACTGGACTCCCATGGTGAACTGAACTCCCATGGTGAACTGGACTACCACGGTGAACTGAACTCCCATGGTGAACTGGACTACCATGGTGAACTGAACTCCCATGGTGAACTGGACTACCATGGTGAACTGAACTCCCATGGTGAACTGGACTACCATGGTGAACTGAACTCCCATGGTGAACTGGACTACCACGGTGAACTGAACTCCCATGGTGAACTGGACTACCATGGTGAACTGAACTCCCATGGTGAACTGGACTACCATGGTGAACTGAACTCCCATGGTGAACTGGACTACCATGGTGAACTGAACTCCCATGGTGAACTGGACTACCATGGTGAACTGAACTCCCATGGTGAACTGGACTCCCATGGTGAACTGAACTCCCATGGTGAACTGAACTCCCATGGTGAACTGAACTCCCACGGTGAACTGAACTCCCATGGTGAACTGGACTACCATGGTGAACTGAACTCCCATGGTGAACTGAACTCCCACGGTGAACTAAACTCCCATGGTGAACTGAACTCCCATGGTGAACTGAACTCTCACGGTGAACTGAACTTCCACGGTGAACTGAACTCCCATGGTGAACTGAACTTCCACGGTGAACTGAACTCCCACGGTGAACTGAACTCCCATGGTGAACTGAACTTCCACGGTGAACTGAACTACCATGGTGAACTGGACTCCCATGGTGAACTGAACTCCCATGGTGAACTGAACTACCATGGTGAACTGAACTTCCACGGTGAACTGAACTCCCATGGTGAACTGAACTCCCATGGTGAACTGAACTCCCATGGTGAACTGAACTTCCACGGTGAACTGAACTACCATGGTGAACTGAACTCCCATGGTGAACTGAACTCCCATGGTGAACTGAACTCCCATGGTGAACTGAACTACCATGGTGAACTGAACTCCCACGGTGAACTGAACTTCCACGGTGAACTGAACTCCCATGGTGAACTGAACTCCCATGGTGAACTGAACTCCCATGGTGAACTGAACTCCCACGGTGAACTGAACTCCCATGGTGAACTGAACTCCCATGGTGAACTGAACTCCCACGGTGAACTGAACTCCCACGGTGAACTGGACTACCATGGTGAACTGAACTCCCATGGTGAACTGGACTACCATGGTGAACTGAACTCCCATGGTGAACTGAACTCCCATAGTGAACTGGACTCCCACGGTGAACTGAACTTCCATGGTGAACTGAACTCCCACGGTGAACTGAACTTCCATGGTGAACTGAACTCCCACAGTAAACTGAACTCCCACGGTGAACTGGACTACCACGGTAAACTGAACTCCCACGGTGAACTGAACTCCCACGGTGAACTGAACTCCCATGGTGAACTGAACTCCCATGGTGAACTGAACTCCCACGGTGAACTGAACTCCCACGGTGAACTGGACTACCATGGTGAACTGAACTCCCACGGTGAACTGAACTCCCACGGTGAACTGAACTCCCACGGTGAACTGGACTCCCATAGTGAACTGAACTCCCATGGTGAACTGAACTCCCACGGTGAACTGAACTCCCATGGTGAACTGGACTACCATGGTGAACTGAACTCCCATGGTGAACTGAACTCCCACGGTGAACTGAACTTCCATGGTGAACTGAACTCCCACGGTGAACTGAACTCCCATGGTGAACTGAACTCCCATGGTGAACTGAACTCCCACGGTGAACTGAACTTCCATGGTGAACTGAACTCCCATGGTGAACTGAACTCCCATGGTGAACTGAACTCCCATGGTGAACTGAACTCCCACGGTGAACTGAACTCCCACGGTGAACTGGACTACCATGGTGAACTGAACTCCCATGGTGAACTGAACTCCCATGGTGAACTGAACTCCCACGGTGAACTGAACTCCCATGGTGAACTGGACTACCATGGTGAACTGAACTCCCATGGTGAACTGGACTCCCACGGTGAACTGAACTTCCATGGTGAACTGAACTCCCACGGTGAACTGAACTTCCATGGTGAACTGAACTCCCATGGTGAACTGAACTCCCATGGTGAACTGAACTCCCACGGTGAACTGAACTCCCATGGTGAACTGGACTCACGTGGTAAACTGGACTCCCATGGTGAACTGAACTCCCATGGTAAACTGGACTCCCATTGTGAACTGAACTCCCATGATGAATTGGACTCCCATGGTAAACTAGACTCCCATGGTGAACTGAACTCCCATGTTAAACTGGACTTCAATGGTGAATTGGACTCCCATGGTAAACTAGACTCCCATGGTGAACTGAACTCCCATGTTAAACTGGACTCCAATGGTGAATTGGACTCCCATGGTAAACTAAACTCCCATGGTGAACTGAACTCCCATGTTAAACTGGACTCCAATGGTGAATTGGACTCCCATGGTAAACTAAACTCCCATGGTGAACTGAACTCCCATGTTAAACTGGACTCCAATGGTGAATTGGACTCCCATGGTAAACTAAACTCCCATGGTGAACTGAACTCCCATGTTAAACTGGACTCCAATGGTGAACTTGACTCCCATGCTAAACTGAACTCCCATGGTGAACTGGACTCCCATGGCAAACTGGCCTCCCATGGTAAAATGGACTTCCATGGTCAGGAGGGAATAGGAAACCAAGATAACAATGAGAACCATTTATTTATTTCTCTCTCGAATTTCAAGAGACGCACTTGGCGCTTTAAAGAAAAAAAAACGAGAGAAATCCGCCGCCGCACGTTGTGCCGACCTCGGCTCTAAAGGCCCTGCGAGCAGCACGTGCCGGGCAGGTCAACAATCGTCTGATCTCACAAACAGCGCTGCGGCGACAACAACAACAACAGCAGCAGTAACAGCAAAGTGCAGTTCCAGTTGCTGCACTAAAACCCTCTGATCTGGAGGAGGCGGTGTGGGTGGGTGGGTGGGGGGTGGAGGAGGCGGTGTGGGTGGGTGGGTGGGGGGGTGGAGGAGGCGGTGTGGGTGGGTGGGTGGGGGGGTGGAGGAGGCGGTGTGGGTGGGTGAGTGGGGGGGTGGAGGAGGCGGGGTGGGTGGGTGGGTGGGGGGGTGGAGGAGGCGGTGTGGAAGGGTGGGTGGGGGGGGTGGAGGCGGTGTGGGTGGGGGGGGGTGGAGGCGGTGTGGGTGAGTGGGGGGGGGTGGAGGAGGCGGGGTGGGTGGAGGAGGCGGGGTGGGTGGAGGAGGCGGGTGGGTGGGGGGGGTGGAGGAGGCGGGGTGGGTGGGGGGGGTGGAGGAGGCGGGGTGGGTGGGGGGGGTGGAGGAGGCGGGGTGGGTGGGGGGGGTGGAGGAGGCGGGGTGGGTGGGGGGGGCGGAGGAGGCGGGGGGTGGGGGGGTGGAGGGGCGGGTGGGTGGTGGGGGTGGAGGAGGCGGGGTGGTGGGGGGGGTGGAGGAGGCGGGGTGGGTGGGGGGGGTGGAGGAGGCGGGGTGGGTGGGGGGGGTGGAGGAGGCGGGGTGGGTGGGGGGGTGGAGGAGGCGGGGTGGGTGGGGGGGGTGGGAGGGGGGTGGGAGGGTGAGGGCGGGGTGGGTGGGGGGGGTGGAGGAGGCGGGGTGGGTGGGGGGGGTGGAGGAGGAACCCACAGACTCCAGCGCGTTGCACTGTGGGAGCGATCTCGGACCCCATCAACACGCACACGGGGTTGGTTGGAGGGGGCAGCAGCAGCATCATCATCAAGGGCAGCAGGGGGAGCAGCAGCAGCAGCATCATCATCAAGGGCAGCAGCAGGAGAAGCAGCAGCATTACATGGCGGCGTCTTGATGCAGTCGCGGTCTCGGCAGCGTCTTGCACAGTAGGTGAGACGACGCGGAGGTGGTGGAGGTGGTGGTGATGGTGGTGCTTAAGGAGGAGGTGATGGAGGAGGTGGTGGTGCTGAAGGAGGTGATGGAGGAGGAGGAGGTGGTGAAGGAGGTGATGGAGGAGGTGGTGGATGAGGTGGAGGAGGAGGTGATGGATGAGGTGGAGGAGGTGATGGTGGAGGAGGTGATGGTGGAGGAGGAGGTGATGGAGGAGGTGGAGCTGCGAGACGGAGCCTCGCCCCGCACAACTTGCCGCGATGTTGTCGTTGATTGCGGCGTTGATGGCGTTGTTGTTGATGTTGTCGGAGTTGTTGTTGTTGTTGTTGGTGGTGGTTAATGCTGTGCGAGGAGTACGCGGTGCACAGATTTCGGTTGCATGCAAGAGTGTACACGCACGTGTGTGTGTATTCGTGTGTTTATTTACGAGCGTGTACACAGTTTGCAATAGCGTGTACACGTGTGTTAGAGACTGTGTGTGTGTGTCAATGTGCAGGAGAGTGCACTCCGCGTGTGTGCACGTCTGGGGTGTACACGTATTGCGTGTGCACGTCTGGTGTGTGCAGCAGAGCTGTGTACATGCCCGTGCGTGGTAATGCGCGATGATTGTTTGCGAGGTGTGGACCGCGCGTATCTACAAGGACGCGTGTACACGTGTCACATCGGAGTTCGCACGTGCCGTGTGTGTGTGCACGTGGTGTGTGTGTGCGTGTGCCGTGTGTGCGTGTGCACGTGGTGTGTGTGTGTGCTCGTGGTGTGTGTGTGTGCACGTGGTGTGTGTGTGCGTGTGCCGTGTGTGCGTGTGCACGTGGTGTGTGTGTGTGCTCGTGGGGTGTGTGTGTGCACGTGGTGTGCGTGTGCCGTGTGTGCTGTGTGTGTGCACGTTTCGTGTGTGTGTGCACGTGGTGTGTGTGTGTGTGTGTGCACGTGTGCGTGTGCACGTGGTGTGTGTGTGTGCTCGTGGGGTGTGTGTGTGCACGTGGTGTGCGTGTGCCGTGTGTGCTGTGTGTGTGCACGTGGTGTGTGTGTGCACGTTTCGTGTGTGTGCACGTTTCGTGTGTGTGCACGTTTCGTGTGTGTGTGTGCACGTTTCGTGTGTGTGCACGTTTCGTGTGCGTGTGTGCACGTTTCGTGTGTGTGCACGTTTCGTGTGTGTGCACGTTTCGTGTGTGTGTGTGCACGTGGTGTGTGTGTGCGCGCGCGCGTGGTGTGTGTGCACGTGGTGCGTGTGCACGTGGTGTGTGTGTGTGCACGTGTGAGTGTGTGTGCACGTGGTGTGTGTTTGCACGTGGTGTGTGTGTGCACGTGATGTGTGTGTGTGCACGTGATGTGTGTGTGTGCACGTGATGTGTGTGTGCACGTGGAGTGTGTGTGCACGTGGAGTGTGTGTGCACGTGGTGTGTGTGTGCACGTGTGTGCACGTGTGCGCGTGTGCACGTGATGTGTGTGTGTGCACGTGATGTGTGTGTGCACGTGGAGTGTGTTGTGTGTGTGCACGTTTCGTGTGTGTGCACGTTTCGTGTGTGTGTGTGTGTGCATGTGCCGTGTGTGTGTGCACGTGATGTGTGTGCACGTGGTGTGTGTGTGCACGTTTCGTGTGTGTGTGTGTGTGCATGTGCCGTGTGTGTGTGCACGTGATGTGTGTGCACGTGGTGTGTGTGTGCACGTGGAGTGTGTTGTGTGTGCACGTGGTGTGTGTGTGCACGTGGAGTGTGTTGTGTGTGTGCACGTTTCGTGTGTGTGCACGTTTCGTGTGTGTGTGTGTGTGTGCATGTGCCGTGTGTGTGTGCACGTGTGTGCGTGTGCACGTGGTGTGTGTGTGTGCACGTGATGTGTGTGTGTGTGCACGTTTCGTGTGTGTGCACGTTTCGTGTGTGTGTGTGCATGTGCCGTGTGTGTGTGCACGTGTGTGCGTGTGCACGTGGTGTGTGTGTGTGCACGTGGTGTGTGTGTTTGCACGTGGTGTGTGTGCGTGTACACGTGGTGTGTGCATGTACACCTGTGCGAGGAGTCTGTTGATAGACTCGAGCGCACGATTGTGCTCTTGCAGGAGTGCGCGCTCACTAACAGCACTTGCCCCGAGCGTCTGCCAAAGACTGTACGGGGGATCTTTGTCTTTGCGGTGCTGGGGAGCGGTGGCCACGAACCCACGGCCACCCGAGTTCCGATTCCAGCTCACGATTTACACTAAACCCGCTCATGGGACTCCCCCACCCCTAGGTCGGCTCAGCCTCAAACGAGTACCTGGCGCGGCGGTGTGCAGTATAAACATCGCCCACTTGGGGAGAGACAAAGGCGGCCGTGCGTGCTGGTGCTGGTCACCCACCCCTCGTGTGCCGTGCCGGCCCTCTTCATAGGTGCTAACAGCACTTGCAACAATAGTCTGTTAAGACTATACGGGGGGATCTTTGTATGTTCCTCCCCTGTGCTCTGCGTGTGTACACGTGTATGTGGTTGTATATATAAAAGCTAATCGGCTTTGCCGTGGGCTAGTTGATGCTGTCATTATTAAAACTGTACGGTAATTATTTATTCCTGTGCAAGCCACACTTCGTTTAGATCCAGGAGGGAGAGAGACTCTGGTCGTGTAACAACAACAAGAACACAAACATTGTATTCGCCCGAACTTTTTGCGAGGTGCACCTACGAGGTTGGTTGCTTCCCAACCTTCACCTATTCGCGCTGACCGGCGTGGCGAAGTTTTGGTCAAATAACGTGGTGATTTGTGGTCTCAGTAGCTCACGAAATCGTCTCGCAGGATCTGGAGAGACAGGCGGCTGCTTGGAAGAGGCATTCATCCAGCAGTGGATTTATCACGGCTCATGATGACGACTGAACTCTCAATACTCTCAGAGGCGTGTGGGAAAGGCTTAATCCAGCGGTGGTTTGAAAAGGGGCCGTGCAATGCGACATGAATGCAATGGGATTTCTGATTTTTTTTATGGGCCAGATGTGGGGACAGTTAGAGATGATTATATCTATGACGAGGCTTGTCAATGTTGTTACACGTATTTGCTACCTGGGATCGGTGGCTCGAATACCCATTCGGCTAAACGCGTGGCTTTTAAACTCTTGATGGTCCATTGCTGGGTGGGTGGCTACAGTATTTGGGAGTTGTGTGGCGAGTGCCAGGAAGGGCTTTCCTTGGAGCAAAAAAAAAACAAAAATCCAACTGTGAGCTGCAAAGTGTTACTCGAAAGGTATTGGCTTTGGTTGGGGGTGGTTGAGAATCGTGGGGCCCCGTTAGGGTGAGCACACCCGACTCCACACGCCCCGCAGTGTGAATGCACCACGAGTCACACTGCCACGGCCTCTCATTGATGGATTGCTAATTGATGCTAATGCCGCTGCTACCGTTTGCTGCCGAGGCCCACAGTCGCTGTGACAGCCAAACGGATCTGTGGCGTGGGGGCTGTGGCCAGGGCCAATCGGTGTACCTACCGCTTGTGTGGGGGGAAGACAGTGCTGTCCTCTGTGCTATAAAACAAGCAGTACACTCGGTAAGAAAATCAGTGTTGGGCTTGGGCACAGGACACGTCGATGGACAGGATGGTGGGCAATTGACGAGCTTCGGTGAAGGAATGGAAGCCTAGAGGACGACTACTGCGGAGATGGAGCGATGAGATCGGTTTGTGTACAGGGGTGAGATGGATGGTGGTAGCAACACTGGACCGTGGGGGGTGGCGATGGCTTGGGGGGGAGGGCTTCATCCAGCAGTGAATAGACTGTGGCTAATGATGATGCTGGGGTTGGCGTAATGGTTAACACTCTGTGAAGTGAACCCCGTGACCCGAGTTTGGTTCCCGACCACGGTTAACATCGGCGGTGAGCGATATCTGAACCAGTCCTGGGATTTCCCTCCACTTCACGAACCCACACGGACACGCTTGGTAAAGTAGGGTCAAAACAACCCCCATCACTAACATGCGGTGCGGGGAAGCCTTCATCCAGCAGTGTATTCACAAAGGTCTGTACCATGTGATATACGGCATACGCAACGGGATTGCAGGGTTTTTATTTGCTGGCTTTGGGCCAATCGAGATATATTTTAATTGCATGTAAACAACATATTTTTAAATGGTATTTTCTAAGCACAGGGCCCAAAGGCTGATGCAAAGCAGCCGTGAACAGAGAGCATGAGTTATTATGGCAGATAAAACATTGACCCATTTTTTTGTGGTTGTATTGACCAAGGTTATAGGAACTTGAGAAAGCGACGATGGGAGGCAGTGGAGAAATACGAGGAAAGGTGGATCACAAATGGAGAAGTAATGTGATTGAAATTGGGAACACTGAGCTAGCAGACAGCACTGTCTCCCTCGATATAACGCATGCCACTGACAACATTAGTAGACATGTGCCCTGTCAAAGAGGACCTGGAGAGAATTGTAAAGGAAAACAATTCTCCAAAAAAACAGAGGGGGTCACGGGGGAACGGACTGTGCACGCAAACACGTGTGCTTCAATTTGGTGTCATTTTTGCACATAAGACACGACGTGGTGGAAATGTTGGTGCATGCAACCCCCACTTTGCCCCCCTTTTTTAATGGACGATGTCAGTGCAGTCCTGTAAAGCGATTGGAGGGTTACAGGGGAGGAGAGAGAGAGGGGCCAGCGCTGGTGAATCTGGTTTCTTTTCGAATCTGTGGCTCTGGAAGGTTCTGGGAATGCCCAACACAAGCCAACAAAAAAAAACGAAATGCTTTGCTCACAAGAAGCGCCCGGGTGAATTTGTTGCAGCGGCAGAAGGGGCGGCCACAAAGCACCAGGTGATGTGTCAACCCAAGTGGCCCCCTCACGCTCTCTAATGCACAAGCAGCCAGGTTACTAATTATGTAATCGACACGTGTGTGTGTGCGTGTGTATTGCTTGTGCGTGTGCATGAGCACCAGCCGTTCGCTAGACGGCGCTCGATCTTGCCCAAAGCAGCTGCGCCTGATGCTGATGGTGGTAATTGTGGCGTTGCCACTCGGATGTTCGTGCATTGTTTCTCTCT